TTAGAAAAATCTTGGAGTATACACATGGATTTTTACTGGCAAATGAAGATAATGCTCTTCTTAAATTGGCTAGGATTACATTTAAGGGGTTTTTGAACTTTAATCCCTCAAGAAGATTAATTTAAAAAAAACCTGGTGTTAGATTAAATATTGATTTTAGTCCCTAATGTGCCCTTAATTCAAAATAATTAATGTGCATTTTATTTAATGTCTCGCATTAAAATATTTAATTTATTAATACACAAATTTTTAATTTATTTTTTACCAAAAGAGTTTTTAATTTATTAATTTTATTTAACATTTCTAAACTTGAAAGACTCATTAATGTACCTAAATGTTAGTACGGAAATATATTATATTGAACTAATATATTTAATGTTAGTACCAATGTATGTACCTAATATGCACCGAAATGTATTAATGTACCTGTACACTGAAATGTTAGTACCGAAAATGTATTATATTGAATTAATGTACCTAAATGTTTGTATCGAAATGTATGTACCGAAATGTGTGTACCTAAATGTATGCACCGAAATATATTATAATGAATTTAATATACCTAAATGAAGAAGATAAAGTACATCAAAATATATTGTATAACAAAAATTAGTTTATCAAAATGTTCACAACAAAATATATTACGATGAATGAAATGAAAATAAAAATTATAATGAAATAAAATTAATACATTAAAAATTAGAAAGAAAAAGATAAATAATTAAAATATTAAAATATAATTAATAAATGAGGTTATTAATGTACCAAGGGACTAAAATTAGATTTTGATCTTACTCATGGTTTTAATCAAAAAGTCATCTTTACCAAGGATTAAAATGAAGTTTTCTATACATTTAGGGTGCGTTTGTTGCACCTCCTTAAGTGGGATTGGCTTGGACTAACTTAAGTAGGACTATAATCCTGCGTTTGGAATGGCGCTGGACTACAATAAGTGAGACTCGCCTCGACTACGAGGCGCTCACTGCTTCACTAAACCTCGTTAACGAGTCCCAAGCTTTCGCTTGGTATTAAGCGGGACTAGGAAACAAGATCAGACCCGAGCTTTCATTTTCCCTGGGCTTCGCCTTCTTTCTTCTGTGGCGCCGTCAGCTACAGCCCACAGCCGACGCGGCCACACCACCGCGTAGATCTCAAAATCTAACCATCAAAATTCGAAAGAAAAAAAGAAGAAGCAAAAGATAACAACAACAATCCCCAATTGGATAATTTCACCTTTTTCTTATAAAATTCCGAGATGGTTATTTTGTTCTGGAATTTAAGATGGAGAATCAAAGCGCTGCAGGAGAGTTTAGGTTTCTTCGAAATCTGGGAGCTGTTCGCTTGAAGCCAACGCATGAATCACAATCTGTATCATCTCATTGCTTTGGGAAAGGAGAGAAATGGATAGAGAAGGGGAGAGAAAGTAGATTCGGGGAGCAAGAGTGATGGTCAGACGCAGAGGGAGAAGAGGGAGATAAGAAGATGAGGGGATTGGACGGAGCCAACGAGGGAGAGGAGATTCCAGAGAGTACAGGTTTTAAGAAAAAAAAAGGAAAAAAGTTGATGTAAAATATTATTAAATATGTCTTAGATAATATAATATTATTAGTGTTAACTATTCAGCTTTTTAGTCCGACACTACACCAAACGCTTCATTATTTTAGTCTACCTTAATCTATTCTAAGCCAGTCCAGCTTAGTCCTTAATGCTAGTCCAGTCCGAGATAGTCCGGTGCAACAAACGCACCCTTAATCCACTCTAGCACTACGTTGGTGAGAAGAAAAGTGAAAGTATTAAAGTAAGATGTTAAAATGCCCATATCAGTAATAACAGTAGAAAATAACAACTACAACACTTTCTAAAGGCGGACAAGATTAGTCCGCGAATGCCTATTACTGCGGCAAATATTTTTTTATTAATTTTTTTTTATCACAACTCTCCTCTCTCACTCGAACCTGAGAAGTCTTCTTCCCTTTTCTCAGAGAACCAACCCAGAACTAACCTCACGATCTCAACCTAAAACTAGGCCTGTAAACGGGTCGGGTTTATTGGGTTCGGGTCGGGTTGAACCCGACCCGTTAATTTAACGGGTCACCCAAACCCAACCCGTTAAGCTAACGGGTCTTAACGGGTCACCCGTTTCATGTTTTTTATTTTATTTTTTATTTTTTTTAGGTTCTGTTCCATTGGGGGTATTATGCCAACAGCTCTGCCTGCTGTCATGCCTCACCAGCATATTACGACGTCAAAGCAAATTACAGGAAAGTAAGAAACAACACAATGGACCAATGTTCCAATTGTAGAGATCAAGTCGGAAGAACCTATCTTGAACTCCTTGTAGGACTACAAATTTCTGAAACAACTGCATTGCATGCCATGCCCTGTTGCTTAACAGAAAACTAAACTAACTCACTGCAAGAAATAGTACTGTAAATTGTCCGTGAGACATCTCAACGCACAAAACGATCGAACGAAAAACAAGCTTGAGACAGACAATCCATATTCCGAAGAAGACAGCATATATCTTAAATCATTTGATGTTTATATGCCTACACTCGATAGTCGGTGTATTCTAAACTACAGAAACAACAATTACTTTAACACCAAACAAACAAATCATATTTGATCACAATTAACCATATATCCCATCAAGCGGGTTTTTCTAAGACAATACAAATCAGAAGATTCGAATCAAAATTCGTAAAAAATCCAAATTTTGATTTCTAGGTTTTCAATCTCCACTCAAAATTAAAAAAACCCCAGAGTTGAGTATTAACACTACAATTGTATTTGTTTGTGAATCAGAGTCCGCCTAGAATCAAACCACACAATCTGAAAGAGACATGCCGAACTTTTGAATGTGAGAGCCTCCAAATTCAAGAAGTTCAAGGACTTGTGCATAAAAAGCATGCATGTGGAGTGCGGACATTTCACAACAACACATGCTCTAACAAGCTATGAGCAACACGCTATCTATGGGAGAACAGACAAATTACGCAAACATAAACTGAGGATGGAAACACAAAGGGTCCGTTTCGAAATGTTTCTATTTTTGGTTTCCATTAAAGATAGAAGAAAAAAGAAGAGAGAGAGAGAGAGAGAGCGAGAATATAGAGTTCGAAGCGCTACTACATGAAATCACACAGCATGCCAAAGAAATTTTCTATTTTCTATATTGTGAATACCTTTCAATTCCCCATACAAAGGCTAAGCCGAAACAAGTGATTATCCAGAGAAGAATTATACAGGAACTGCCTTCTATTTATACACCCGAAAGCTTAACAGAGACTCCAATGTATAAGGAAAACAAATATATCATCATCATGAGACCTGCTCCGTGTTCCTACCTCCATGATTATCCGCACTCGCCATAGAAAATTTGTAAATGGAAGAAATTATCAAAGCCCTTCCTACATTAATGACCATTTTAGAGTGCAGCGACAAACCGAGGAGTCAAAAGTAGTCCAAACAGATTCCAAAGATTCAAACCCATGAACAAAAACGCATGAACAAAACCATTAACAAAAAATCAATACTCTGTACACTAAATCAATACTCTGTACAAAACCCATGAACAAAACGCAAAACCCATTATCCAAAAACACAACCAAAAATCTAATCTGCAGAAACGAAAAGTAATCGAAATGAAGAAGAGGTGGAAGGAAATGAGCTTACCAGAGAGAGAGTGGTGGAGTTTCAGTAAAGTTTTTGAGGGAAGAAGATGAGGGAGATAACCGGAGCTAGAAGGAAGGAGCACAGGCTGCACAGCGATCTCAGTCTCAGAGAGCAATGGCGTGTTGAGGCAGCGGAGAGGTGAGGAACGTGAGGCTGACGGCTGAGGTCCTGAGGTTTGAATTAGGGGCTATTGTAATTACACAAATAATCCTACAAACGGGTTTCTTAAGGGTGGCTAATGGGTTTCGCGGGTTCCCCAAACTGACCTTATGTAACGGTGACTAACGGTTGACCCGTTAACTACCCGACCCGTTAACCACCCACCCGAATACTAATTTTAACGGGTCGGGTCGGGTCGGGTTAACGGGTTGGGTTAAAAATGACAGGCCTACCTAAAACCCAAATGTAAGACTCTTCCTTCTTCAGCTTCTCTCCGCCGTACTCCGCACTAGTACTGGCGAGCTCTCGGAACCCAATTCTCTCAAACCCCTCCCAAGGCCTTCCAACCATGAATTCCTCGCAACCACTCTTCGCTTTGACCGCTTTGGTGAAGTCCCTGAACTCGCGCTTGAGAGTTCGGAAATGGGTTTCTTCGGCCGCCAAGGCCTGTTTTTGGGTCTGCGAGAACGGCTAAGATGGATCCGCCTCCGTGAGGCGGTTGAGCTTGCGGTTGTGTTTTTGGATTTCTTTTTTACGGACGGTGTGGACGATCTTGCGAGTTGGGTGGACACCTTTCTTGGTGAGGTTGCGTTTGATTTTATCACTGTCGGGTTCGAATTGGATGTGAGGGACTTGTGGGAGGGAAGCTTGCAGAGCTTCCATGGCTGAAGGTGCGAAGTGAAGAAATCCGGGGGTTTTGGATCAGCTACGATTCGAGGCAGATCATCGCCGACGGATTGTGGCCTTTGGATTTCAGGTGAGTTCGAGTATATCGATGTGATGGTAGAGGGCGATAGGTCGTTGATCGAGAAGAGAAGCACGTATACAAAGATTCAGAAAATAGAGAACGAAGATGATAAGAAAGAAGGCGCGTAAAATAATAGTTTAATAAAATAAAAAGAAAAGAAAATAATGTAATAAAATAATATTTAATTGACATATCAGGGAGAGTGTAAAATTTTGAAATATGTCAAAATATCACAGACTGTCAAATTTAAATTTTATATTTAAAATTTGACATTTCATTTAAAGATACTTTTAAATATAGCATTAAGTATTAAATCTTATCTTTATGTTTTCCTAATTTAAAATCAACTCAATCAAGTAAAGAATCACAATAGTATTTAATCAACAATTGTATAAGATAATAACAAAATATTATTTAATTAAACAATATCCGGATAATTCTTTTCTCTTCATTTTACAAATGAAACATCTGGACCAACTGGATGTCAACACATGGCATGTCAAACCCTACCCATGTGACCAGCCTTAGCTCCTATAAATATCTAGCTCCTGTGAATACCTCATCCTCCACCAAATTTTGATAATCTTTTGTTGCGTAATCAAAGTCTTAAAATTCTATCTTTTATCAAAGAAACTAACTTAGAGCATCTTCAAATGAGATATCAAAATATCTAAATCAACAATAACGATAATAAAAGACAATATTAATGTTTTCCAATCGATAAACCAAATCTAATGTAGCATGACATGAAATGACACTCTCCTCTTCTGCCAAATTTGGCAGCACCTTCAAATTTTTTTAATTAATTATTAAATGATTTTTATTAGTTTTTTTTTATTGATTTAAAGCGTTATCAGTTTGTTTCTTTTCATTACCAATGCAAAGTAAATACATATGAATATATTTTTTTATATTTAAAATTTGGCATATAAGTTGGAGAGCAAAATTGTAAAAGATGTCAAAGTGCTATGTAAGCCTTCAAATTTAAATTTTAAGTTTAAAATTTGACATCTCCTTTGAAGATGATCTTAATAATTTGGCGTGCTTTGATCTTTGATCTAATATGTTTATTTATTTTTTAAATAAAAATTCATAGACAACCAATTTTTGCTCACAAAGTTCATGGAAGAAATCAGTAAATCAGCAAAATCAGCAAAATACTATTAGAAAACGTGTTATGTGAAATTTCTTTATGTTTTCTTACTGAAGTAAACGCTTGGAAGTACACACTCATAAGACTTATGTCTTACCTGTGTCTCTCTATCAGTAACGCCTGTGCCTCTGTGTCTGCGAGTGTCCCACAACTGGCAGCCTTAAAGGTTACAAGTCTTTTATCATGATCCTTTTAAACACTTCTCTGATCGCTGCAGTTTTGCCCCCACCATCCTCCTTATAATTCGCCTTGGCTCCCGGACTCCTCTCTCTCTCTCTCTCCCTCTCTCTCTCCCTTCTCCCCACCATGTTCGATATCCAAATGCCGCTACTTTAACACTCCCCTCCACCATTTCATTCCATATATCCTTCTGGGTTTCACGAATGTCAGCTTCCGAGGCAACCCACCACCGCCGTTCGGCCACCGGGGGCAGCGGCTCGTCGGTCTCGGATGACTCCGACGATGACCAGTCTTGGCACTCGATGTCTGAGTCGGGCAATGTCCAGAGGAAGTCTTGTGAGTCGGATTGTCCAGTGGAGGAGGTGGATTTGGAGAGTGGGGTTCTGGAGCTGAAGAAGGTGGTGCATTTGAGTAAAGTTGAGAGAAATTGCAGGATTTGCCACTTGGGTTTGGAAGGGGGCGGTGGGACTGACTCTGGCTCTGGGTTCCCAATTGATTTGGGGTGTTCTTGCAAGGGGGATTTGGGCGCTGCTCATAAGCAATGTGCTGAGACTTGGTTCAAGATCAAGGGAGATACGTGAGTACAAACTTTTTCTGAATTCAATTCATTATTTTCTTGATTTTTGGTGTTTCTGTTTGTGATTACGAACATCCATCTGCTGGATTCTGGATGTTTTCCTCGTCTGATTGTTTAATTTTCATCCGAATTACGCTTAATGGAACAAATTGGCTTGTTTTGTGGTGAAGTTTTACCTTTTGGAGATCAAAAACAATATGAGTACATAAACTTCAGGATTATGTTTCTTTTTGTCTCTGCAATTCTGCATTGAAGTGCACATGGATGTAATTGTAATTGTAATTGTTTTCGGGAGTTGGATCTCTCACCTTGATCTGGTTTCACCTCAAAGTATGATCTTACTATGAGCATGTGTAGTTTTGTTGAATAATAGACCATCTTGGTGGCGTTTAGGTTCCTGCTCCCGAGAGTTCAGCTTATTCGATTGCTTACTAGCTAATTAGCTTCTTTCCTTTCATGTAGTGGTCACCATTGTTCTTATTATTTTGCTTCTTACTGGAAAGTTGAATGAGACAGATCACGTTGCCCACATGATTGAGAAAATTTTGTAGAAGAACAAATCTTGGTCACCACTTGTACAGTCCATCCAAACTCAAAGATATCGATCACCATATGTTTAGAGTTTTTATTGGCACGTCTTCTTCGGCATTTACATTAGTGGAAAGTAGGGGGTCCAATGTGAGCTAAAGGAGTCGTCTTTGTGTGCAAGAATTGAGTTCCTGTGTTTAAATGTAGATATCTTGTGCCATGTATTTCTTTATATATGCTTCTTATTTAGAGGTAAATGTTTCATATAATCATGCCTATGGTTTACTAAAAGTTGATATTTGCGTAAATCGTAAATGAATTTTAGCTCTTTGGTTCAGTCACAATTTTATTTCGTTTATAAATTTGAGAAAAAACTATATGTGGATTCTATTTTGTTTTCTATTTATAACTCCAAAGATGATACTTTGGCAAATTCTTAGGACCTTGCACACTATATCCCCTGCAAGGAAATCTCCAAACTTTGGCAACAGGAAATTATAGTCTACCTAATCCAAATCATATGACAAATACTATAACGTACACTATAGACGGATTGGTTAAGACTTGCTTGATTAATAACCAGGATGAGTAAAGGATAGCATGCTATTTTGACTTTGGTTATCATGGCAAGCAAATGGAATGACATGTTGACGTCAGGACTCTTTACCAAAAACAGGAATAGAAGATTCTTGGCTACATTGTTTGATAGTGATTGTATAGCATTCTGGCCTATATTGTTGATATTTGAGTGCTTTCTGGTAGTTAATTATTCAGCGCCTTGATGTTGAACTCAAGACCTGTTGCCAACAAGTTACTGACGACCGGTAATATTTGAGTGCTTTGATTATACACTTTTATGTTTGTTCAAAATCCCCATGGTTCATTTCTTTCTGTATCTTTGTTTCTACAAGCGATGCATTACGGTTGCAATTAGTTGTCTTGTCTGGGTGACATGTTTTCTGTCTATGTATTTTCTTTTTTCTTACTTCAATCTGGTTTTGTTTTTAACATGAAGTTTAATGGTAAAGATAATTTAGTAAACTGCACATGTGGTTCAATTCAATTCTTGTTTTACATAGGTTTTATTCTACTGTTACAAAGCATAATTTAATTTATTTAATTTACAGAACCTGCGAGATCTGTGGCGTCACTGCATTCAACATTTCCAGTGAGCAGATAAACGAGTCAAATGCCACTACTGCCACATCCGCATCAGTACCAGCAGCACCCATGATCCTGGTTGAAACCCGAACCATGTGGCATGGGCGCCGCATTATGAATTTCCTGCTTGCCTGCATGATCCTTGCCTTTGTAATTTCATGGCTTTTTCACTTCAAAGTGCTTTCATGAACACCAGCAGGGAAAAGAAAAAGGCTCTGAATGTGTAGGGGTAAGTTGCAGTTTTCCACTTCTCCTCTTGTTGATGCTGCTACTTTGTCTGTACGCCTTCCTACTAGGCCCTATGTTCTTGTTCGAGGCTTAGCTCCAAATTTCTACGCACGTTCTCCGTCATCTGTAATATAAATTGTTCCGCATGGCTATCGATAGTAAGTTATAGTATCTTTGGATAAGTGGGGGTAAGAACCTGTTTTCCATCTGCTGTCTTCATTGTGTGCTTGGTCTGGCAATGCTTTCGTGTATGCATGTCTTATTTGTACAGTTAAGAACTCCTCAGTGTGGAAGAACTCAGTGGAGATGCTCATCAAGCCCTAGTACCTATAAGTCATGGTTCATGAAGCATGACAACGAAGGTTGTTGGCGTCTTCGTTGATTTAAAAGGTTAATGACAGTATGTACCTTCTCAATGATCCTTGTAATATACAAGTTACCGGCATGAACGCCATGAATTCGAAATTTTCGGTTCTTTCAAATGCTATGCCTGAGACTTCAAGTGTTTCAGATTGATTCCTTCAAGTTATGAGTATTATTCAGTTCACCTGGTGTTTGTACTGTCCGCACCAGTATGTCCACATAACATTTTGCTTAGGCTCATTAGCAAATTTAAATCAGCACGTGAGCGATTACGCTTAACCATTTAAGCTACCAATCATTGCAGATTGCAGATTTTGAAAGTGATTTAAGAACAAAAAATTGTTATCCAATAAACACCAAAACATGTTTCCATGATTTTAACGATATGGTAAAAGCATTATGGGATTTTTGTCTTTTCATAAAGAAAAATTGGGACTTCTTAGTAGATTACTAGATTGTAATACCCAAAAAAAGTGTTAAAAAATATGAGTGTTTTTATTCGGAAAATAGTGTACAGTAAATTACCACCAGGTAGCCCAATGGTTAGAGCGAATTTAGGTTCTTATTTCACAGAGCTCGTTGTGTGTAAGATTTTTGGTGTAGGTGAATCGCACAATTGTGGTCAGAAGAAGGCTGAAATTGAAATGTCTCTATGAATCTTTTTCATCCCAGGGTGAACTATCGTGGCTTCGCCACCATTTGGTCCCCTTAAAAAAATTCAATGTATAGTAAAAAAAAATATCAAATTGTTTTAGCCAATCTGATTAAATCAGTTGAAATGTGAATTAGTAAAAAAAAATCAAAATGAAAATAAAAGTATTTTTCTTTTTCAAAAATTGAAATTTAAAGTCATTTAGTACTACAGTTTAATGATATTTTTCTTAACTTCGATTTTCACCATAAACGAATTTAAACCACATTATTATTAACACATTGTGAGGCTAAGCCAATCTCTTCCGTGTAGATCATATCGTTTGTTAAAAAAAAATTTAAAAAAAAACTGAAATTTAAAAAAATTCAAAAAATTAAAATAAGTTATTTAAACAAACATGGGCCTTTGTGAAATTATCCACTGCTTGTGTACCAAGGGAAAAAGAGAGGGCATTAATCCTCTGCTTTTCGGGGATAGAAATTCAGTGAACGGCTTGTGTTTCCGTCTATCTCGCATACACGGTAGATTAACTCCTAAAACCCTAATTGGTGCAGTATACCTCCACCTCCAGTGCGATTTCCATTTTCGCCTGCTTCAGCCTCAAATCAGACACCTAAAACCCTCTGCATCTAAGAGCTTCCAATCACAACACTTTCGGTTCTCTCCCACCGAGTATGATTACTTAAACCCTCTCTGCTACTTCATTCTATTTCGGTTTCGGTTTCGGTTTTGAAGGAATCGTGTGAGTTAATTTGGGGTTTTTTTAGGATCTAATGGCTGCCCCTAATGAGCCGACGGTTTTGGACAAGGAACAGGTGAGTGCCCTTTTCTTCATTGTTCTAAAGTTTCTACCTTTGGAGTTTGAATATGATTTCAAGTCTACCCAAGATTGGAAATTCATGGTCAGATTGTTTAATGGGGGTTGGGGAATCTGTGTGTTCTTTGAATTGGGGTGTAATCAGATTCGGTATAGTTTGTCTAATTGGTCAATGATGGCGGTGTTTTCGACATTAGTAGTGAAACCGAGGCATTTCACGGGAGTTAGGATGGAGCAATATGGTTGATGTTAATGGATTTCTATTCTTTTTGTTATGAATTGTTGCCATAAAAGTTGTGTTATTAAACAATGTTGGCGTTTTGGAAAGACTTGAAGTTTGTTTTCAATGAATGTGCAGATTTTTGGTATGGCAGAGAAGGAGATGGAATACAGGGTTGAGTTGTTCAACAAGTAAGTTTTCTGTACGGTGTCAGATATCACGGTTCACTAATGTGGTTTTATATGGAAGGCGGCGAGGGTTGTTTCTTCTAGCCTATATTCTAGTTTGAGAAATTTTTAGGGGCTTTTTTTCCATAAGCGTGATCATTTATTTGTTTCTTTATTTTGGCTTTTACCTGTTTCACTATTATTTCCGTTGGACTTAATACTTTGTGTTGATGAGCATGTATGATTGTTCACTAAAAAACAAGGCTTTGGAACAAGAGTTCTAAAGCAATCGTATTTGGTTGTCTTGTGGCTTCAATGTGTGAGCATTTTAGTCCTTTCTGTTTTTGTTATACGCTTTGACTGAGCACATCTATTTAGGTTGCGAATTCTGCTTTGGTATCTGCAATTTTCCATGTCTAATACATTGGCTCCAGTGGTTACCGGTTTTCACTTACGCATTTAATCGTTCATTGATTCAGGCTTACCCACACATGTTTCAACAAGTGCATCGAGAAGAAGTATGAGAACCCTTTTCTTTTCTCTATTTAGTTCTTATGGACCTCTATGAAAGATACGCAGCAGTTTACTTTTAGGCCCTTTTTTGAAATCTAAAATTACTGAAGTTAGTAAATGTGAATTGTCAAATACATCCAGGTACAAGGAGTCTGAGCTAAATATGGGTGAAAACAGTTGCATTGATCGGTGCGTGTCAAAATACTGGCATGTAAGTATCTATATGTTTCATATGATTTTAGTGCTAGTGTATTGGATTACGTTATAAGAACAATCCCAGTCATCCTTCAAATATTTTTATTTCTTCATTTCTGCTGTCGTTGATATTTATCACTTCAATTTATTCTCTTTAGCTACTTCCACTGCATCTCTCCAAATAATTTCTTTGAAAATCTCCAAAAACTACTGCAATTGCAATTTTTTAGAGTTTATATTTTTAATTTTGAGTGTTGGTCTTTACCAGTTGAACGCTTTTGATGGAAACTAAGCAATAAACGTTCGCAACTTTAGCTACTGCCGCATCTATGATTATGCAAATGCAAGTTAGTTTTTTATGTTTATATGATTGAAACATTTTGTTGTTTGCAGGTGACTAATCTAGTCGGCCAGCTGCTTGGTTCTGGTAGGCCTCCTATGTAAAATGTTGTCTAGTCCTGTTAGAGAGCTGCTGTTCCTCAAATGGATGCTTGGATGGATCTCCGGTGATGTGGAGATTGTAATTGTTCGCATTGTTGTGCCCTTTTGTTTTTCCCCATTTTGTTGGTCGACGGAAGAATTAGGGACAGTTTTATCATCCGTCGCCCTATGTTCAAGACCATAGTAGAATTGGGCATTCATAATGAAGAGTTCTTAATTATTTTGTTTTCTTGAATAATTGCCATTGTTTTCGATGGTTTGGTTACACCTTAAAATGTTGGAATGCTTGTACCTTTTCGGCAGCTTTGTTAAGGAAAAGTTACGAGGATTTTCGATGGTTTGGTTACACCTTAATATGAGTGCTTTTATAGCACATTACTAAACATTCAAGTGCTTCATGAAAAAGTTCTTTTCAGTGCTTCTTCAAACCCTTTTTCCGTCGGACATTGCCAGAAATGTTTTTAGCCTTTCTATAAGTACTACCAAATGATCCTTCCTTTATCTTAGGATGAAAATACAACATCACCCCAAGTTTAAGGGTTCGTTTGGTAATGTTTTCGCGATAACTTAAGATGAAAAAACTATCCAAGTTCTAATATAATAGAAAGGGGCTTTCACCATCTATTTCTGCCCAAACTCTCTATGAGTTTCCCTCCTAGCGAACTGGGAAAGCTTATCCCTCACTCGCATTTGCCTAATCGAGCAGAACGCCACTCGGTGCTCATCCTACAACTGATCCCGCCTATAATTATAGAGTTGAACACACATAAGTATAGGTTTTGTTGTCCTTACAACAGTTGTCAATGACCGGGGCTTTGCACTTCGCGACCCTATCTAGATAAGTTAGGGACTCACTTTTGTGTACAAAGGTATCGTGACATTAAAGCCTTTCACTCTAAATGCAACATCCCCTGTGTAACAATCTATCGCAGTAGCAAAGTCTTTGCTCGGAATGCAGCAACCCAATGCTTCTTAAGATTTAATCTTGGAATAAGACTTGGCTTTGAAATTTCAGTAGAGATCCTACTTACATCAAATCCCGGGTGGACATATGTCTAAGTTTTAATTTTTTAATCAAAACTTGAACACATATCCACCCATAATTGACTGTAAGCAAGACCTACAGCTGAAATGTTCAGCAACGAAGTAGCCTTCTTAATCTTGTAGGTCTGATTTCTCTGCAGTTTGCTGCTAGGTGGTAGGAGACTGGGAGTGTTCTACTCACTTTCCTTTTTTCTTTTTTTTTTTTCTTTTTTTTTGGAAAGACACTTTCCATTTTTTTTAGCTCCGATTTCTATGCAGTTTCCTGCTGGGCCAGAAACTCATGGTCACCATTTGCCTTGAAAAAAAAGTCGTCTGGGACGCGGAGGAGACATTATACCTTTACGTTCCAAAGTCAAGACGGGGGAAATTTCATGCGTCAACATGATCGGTTTTTTTTTTAACAAACAATCATTATTTATACTAAGAGAGTGAGAGAGCGGACTAAACCTCACAATGAGATAATAATAATGTGGTTCAAATCCGTCTTTGACGAGAATTGTACTTTAGACATCTCACTTACAAGTAAAGAGGAATACCATTAAACTGTAATACTAAATAGCTTGTTAACATGATCATACTAGCTACGTAGGTTTTTACATGTCAGTGTTGATTAGAAGACTTTCTGCCTATAGACAATTGGTTTTGGGTTCAGTGTTCACATTTTAACATGGTATTTAAAGAATATGCACGCGTTAAGCCAAACAATCTCTCAAAAAGAGAGAAGCAAACGTAAAATAGTTTGCGGGGTCTAATTAAGATACCCCTAACAATATGGTACCCTTATTCTTTTATACAGGTGAACTTTAAACTAATCTAAACTGCGGGATTGGAGATTCGAACTTGGTTGTCTGTTCTTGTTCTGCTGTCTCGAGCAACCGCAGAACACTCAGTAATCTAATACGATGTAATGCTGCTTGGCGTAAATTCTATAAATAAAGCATCCGACGCAATGACAATTCCAGAACCTAATATAATGCATCAGTAACTGAACATATACAGAAGAGGAAACAACTGACTTGACTTCTATATAGCCACTGGCTGCTACAGATCAAAATAAACAAAAATAAACGTCAAGACCAACCTAAAGATTGTTATGGCCAATTGATCCTTTTGTGCTGCATCACAAGAACTCAGACGCCGAAGAGGAAAAACCACGTATTATTCACTTTTCAGCTTATCCAGCTTCTTAACTTCCAAGGATGTGCCAACGTTTAGAATTTCCTCCGCATCATTGTCCATCCCGAGGCTCTTTAGGGCTGCCGCTTGAAGGTAGAAGGCAGTTGGCCACTCACGCTTTTCTGCTAGGGCTTCCTGGCCATCTCGAAGAGCTTCTTGTGCCTTGTTACTCAGCAAGTTACACAAGCACCGTCTAACCAGCATAGTTGGCGATTTCACTGGCACACGATCAAAGTACTGCAACGAAAATAAGAAGATTCACTTAGGACTAAACTGATAAGTGAATCCGTTTCTACTATATGTCCACTTAATATGTGTAGTACTAAACTTGTAAAGCGTATTTTTTAAGTTATCATAGCTTAGTTTTCATAACCCCACCGCTAATTATATCTTGTTCACTAACAAAATCAAGTGAGTTTCCAATATATCTGGACACTAAAGAAATTATGACAAGATAGTTTTGCAGTTCAAGATTAGTGGCTTACTTCCGTATAAGAACTTATCGCGATGGCAAAATTTTTCTCTTTGAATGCAGTATCCCCCTTCTTCCTAAAATCTATTGCCTCCTTCATTGTCTCAGTCCACACATCAAAAGAAAGCTGCGAGGGAATTTAAGTAAGGGTCGTGCGTTAAACATAGTTTAGCATAAACTGTTTGGTAATAAACGCAAGTGATCACTGCAAGATAGAAAGCCAGTTCTTTTCCCTTGGCAGATACTACAAAATAGAACATTCAGAAGTTAGAATTGAGATCACTAACTTCGTGCCTAGGTTCATCTTGCTCGTATTTAACTGTCACCAATATTTCATGTATTGCAGTTAGATCCAATCTTCTGCAAGCATCAGCTAGATGTGAAAGCAATGTCGGCAACTTTGGAGGCACACTTCCGTGGTAGGTACCCATCAAAACATATGAAGGAACCTGCAACAAACCACTGGATGAAAGGATATTCTACCTTCAAGGCATTCCATTTGCAGCATTGATGCAAATCAGCATTTTGAAACAGAGGCAATACCAAATTACATTTCAACGCGTATGCTAAAGTATGACAATTCCAGATAAATAGAGCCTGGCATACCTCAGTTTCTTTTTGAAGAGGTGCGAGGGAATTCTCAAGAGACTTGACATTTGGCCTCTTACGAGGTTCAGACTGCAAGCACTGTGAAGCTAACTGCACCAGTGCAGTTCCATCATCATTTGAGACATGGCCTTCTAAGCACGAGTCCAACAGCATCAACAAATTTTTATCGCGTATGAGGTCAAGCGCCTTGCAGAGAGAAAATTGAAACTAATTTAGCCAGAATATTTAAATGGAATTTTAATCACAACACAACTCAAAAACATATAAGAGCCAAATATTTAATCTTGAAATGAAGCACAGATAGCTTTAACTTGGAGCACATTAAAGCACAAGTTATAGGCCACAAATCTTCCACTGGATGTCAATAAAAATATCAGAACAAAGATCCACGTCAATGAAAGACAATAGGAAAAGAAAATTTACATGGGCTGGCGGGATACGTTTACTTCTGAGCAGATCAAGCAATAGGGTTCCAAATCCGTAAACCACACTTTCCGGTATCACTTTTCCTGCCAACAGAAAGCTATATGTTAGCTCAATCAAGGATTTCACTGCCTCAGGAAATTTATTCAACACTCGGGCAACATACTGATATAGAAGCTATAAGCTCGTAATTTCCCTCCCCTCTCCCTCTTCTACTAAGCAGTGTACGCATTACAAGATTAAAAACTGGTCTCTGTTGGCTGAAGCAATGAAGGTGTTACCTTTATTTGTGTATTCAGGAGGGTTGAAAGCGAGGTTGGTACTATAACTTTTGCCATCTTTGCTATTCTCCATGAGTCCGAAACAGGAGAGTCTGGGATTCCAATCCTGTCAAGTGTTAACTCAGTGTAAGCAGTGACAATCAAAAGACTAGCTACAATATCTAAAAGAGCAAAAGACTCACAACCACAATTATATAATTACCTGATCAAACAGGACTTTGCAAGTACTAAGATCTTGGTACGACGCCCGCCCTTTACTGCTGCAATAGGCCAAAGCTTGTGCCGTGTACAACGCCACTCGCATCCTCATTGCCCATTTCATAGGCTGGTTCTCACCTACACCAATTGCAACCAACTCAATAATTAAAGTTTCTACTTCTCTTAGAACGAAAAAAGAAGACCGAAAAATCATAATCTCGAATTATCTGTGTCCATAAGAAACCCGATGATTAATTAACGAATCCTATTTTCATCATAAACATACCAGCAATCAAAAAATAAACATCAGACTAGCAAAGAAAGAGAATTTTAACATTAGAGTGGTACTTACAATGGAAAAGATGCTTGGAGAGAGTTTCGTTAGGCATAAATTCTGCTACAAGCAATCTCTCATGGCCCTCACAGCAGCACCCGATCAGATTCGCCAAACTGTTGTTCCTCAGACGCCCCACAGCTCTGGCGTTCTCCTATAACCATACACAACACATTGTTACAGAAATTCTCTGTGCAGGACGCCCGTTCTTTATTTATGCAGCACGTATTAAAGAACGAATGTCTGTTTCATCGCCGGACTATAATAATACATTACATACACAAATTTAAAGCAAATTTAATAAAGAAAAATTTAGCCTGTCAAACTGACCAGAAATCGGCGCGAATCAGGCCAAGCGGAGCAGCTGAAGCGCTTAACAGCGATGCAACGGCCGTCTTGGAGCTTGCCTTTGTAGACCACATTAGCAGCTTCCTCGCCGTGCTTGGAGACAACGTTCTCCGACGAGAACTGCGATGTGGCGGCTCTCAGTTGCTGCAGGCTGAACTCACTGAACCCCGGCACCAGAGACGGAGAGTCCATTCTGTCCCTGCCCCTATTCTCTGCATTTCACGCAAGAAAAATAAGAAAAAAGTCGGGATTTTCCCGGGAAAGTGACGGAAAAAAAAGTTAGAAAGTGTAAAAGAATCAACAGAAAAACGCCTCGCCTGCGTCTAACGAGTCTTCGATTTTCGCTATGGTGTTGTACGGCCGGAAGCAAAGGCAGAAACTGTTTCCCATTTGGCTGAGGAATCAAAATCTAGTGAGAGAAACGAGCTCTGAAATATGTAATATGGCTTTCTCTCTCTAAAATGTTTGTGGCCAACGTCTCTGCTTGTGCTGCCACTTCGCAGTGGCGGTGTATTATTTGTAGAGGAAGCCACCACGCAGTTTCCGCATTGACTTCGGACGGGAAGGGAGCAATGTGAACCAGAACTAGAAGGGAAACTTCCTTCCCTGTTTCGTGACACTAGAAGGGAAACCTTTCACACACAACCCTTTGAATTTGTTGAAGAGCATCTCACGTCAGAAAACTGACGATATTGCATAACATATGTTTAAGTTGTTCCATTACTAATTGCATTGAGCGTTTTGTATTTTGAATAAAATTTGAAGGTGATACTAGAGATATCAAAATTTTAAATTATTTCTCGTAAATCACATGACGTGACTTACAAATGATAATGTTATGAATACCAAAATTTTAAACCAAATTTGCAACCAATTTTGGTCTACCTGGATTATCTGGCTTACAAATCCATCTTCTTTAAATTATTAAAAAAAACTTTCAACAATAAACCGCTACATTCGTGTAATTTATAAAAGATGGTCTAAAAATTTAATTTCTCTAGCATTTTCCAAATAGAGTAGGATTCTCTCCTCTCTTTTTTTCCCTCCCCTTTTCTCCCCTCTTATTTGAACGGTCATAATTAAGTCACGTCAATATCTTATATTAATTTTTTATAACAAGAGAAAAATAAAATAAGAGAATGTAAAAGGAGATAACGGAAAGAAAAATGGAGAGAATCCTAATCCTTTCTAAATTTGAATTGAGTTGACAAGCTGATTTTTTTTTGTCATTGGTGGAAAGAACAAATGGCTACGGGTCCTATAGTTTAATATGCGACATTTTTAAGTACTTTCTTTTGCCTTTTGAATTCCTGCGTCCACGAGACCGCGTAATACGCAAAAGTCTTGCCAGCTTTCTATGAAGTTTCTCTCATTTTCCGACTCCGAAAAGAAAAAAAAGAGCTAATCAAACATTATCTATATATTAAGGGGTGTGATATCCACACAATTCATTTTATTTCTCACACATATTTCTAATTTTCGGCCATTGAATCAGATAAATTGAACAAGATTAACATACATAAATTAATAAGGGGTGTGTGAGAAGTAATTTGGGCTGTGTAGATATATACTAAAACTTGGTTCGGCTAGCACTGTTTTCACTGTTGGTGAACAGTGAAAGGACGGTAATGCCCTTTGCTGCTACTGATTCTCAAATTTAATTTTCCGTGTTGCACGGTGAAATGACAATTTTATCCATGTTGTCCGCGTGTTGATCATCGCGTAATGGGAAGGAGGATGCAAAAGCCGAGCCACCTCTCTCTCTCTCTCTCTCAAAGGTTCCTCTTTCCTTCTTCCTCTGATCTGAGAACAATCACAGTCGGACTCTCTCTTCCAATACCCACATCGAATTTGGTAGGGTTTCCACGACCTCCTAAAGCCTTTTGTTTTACCAGGCAAGTCATTATTTTTTAATTTTCCCGATAATTTTATGCTAATTTGGCCCGTTTCCCGTCCTGATTCTCTCAGTCTTTGCTCCATCTTCTCGAGCTCTCTCTCGCAACTCATCCATTTCTCCAACAATTGACTGAGTGAGATTTGAATTAAAGAGCTCCTTCATCTTCCCCAATACTGGCGTTTTCAAAAATTTCACTGTATTTCGCAGATTGGAGCCTTCTGTAATGATTGGAGCTGTTGGGATTTTGAAAAAAATGGGAGTAATTTTTCTTTTGGGTTTCGTCCCTCTGGTATTTATATTGAACCCAAAACCCCAAAAGATTTGAACTTTCAGGTAAATTAAAAGCCACATTTATAACTCACCACATTTATATGAATGGCAAAAAGATTAGATGTGTGTTTATTTGAATTTTAATCTGTAATGTTTGGCCACTTATCCTGAATTTTGTTCAAATTGAAGAAGTCACATGTTTCTTAAATGGAAACATGTGTTATTTGAATTTGGCTTTTACACTTGAACTACATTTGTAAATCCTGTGTTGTGCAAATTACTTTACACACCTTGACCTGCATTTCTAACTGTTTACTGGTCTATACTGCTGAGATATTGTACATCAATTTACTTTTTGTAGTGCATGTGACTGTGATCTTGAATCTTTGATATTCTTTTCTATTTTCAGCATTCAGGTTTTGAAAATTCTGAACTTTATTCTTTTGTTTTTCTTCCTGTTTTATCAGGAATTGAGCCATGGTCCTTTGAGCAACATTTGGGGCAAGCTGTTTTTATCCCTGCTGGGTGCCCTTTTCAGGTTAAGAATCTTCAAGTAGTTTTGTTTGTAGCTAAATTAATATTTTTGAGGTACCGACTTCGGGTTATTTAATGAAAATGTGAAAGGTTTAATTAGATTGACTTGATAAGTAATTTATTTAAACCATCTAATTGCACTTGCTTCTGTATTAATTTTATTTATTGGTCATTCCAGGATGTCACATAGCAAACATTAAGTCGTCCAATACTACAACGTACATACAAAACAGAAAAAAAAAAGCTATCTTAATATTGGATGACTTAACGTTTTCTGTTGTTTATTTTTGAGTTTTCATTGATCCTGTATAAAAATAATTACTTTTGAATTTATATTGTAGTTATAAAAAATTATAAACTACAATATAAATTCAAAAACTAATCCAGGAGCTTTAAAAATTTGACTGTTTGATAATTTCCATTCCAAAATGTTTATACTTCTGTGAGTCATTACATTCTTTATAAGTCCACCAAATTCACATTGTATTTCAATAAATTTTAAATGTTTTGTATGTGCTCTAAACTTTTTTACTACAATGTATTAGATATTCTAATTACTAAATCAAATTATCACTATTCCATTTAACAGGAAAAAAAAATCCTAACATTATTCGTATCATTCACAGATGTGTGCTTCTCAAGCTTTGTTCTATACAAATTTTAATGCACTTGACACTCACTTCAGGATCATTGGCATTGATCAGATAAGGTGACCAAGTTCTTATCATTGATCATTCAATACCTTCTCTCTTTGCTTAGTTTTTATTCACCCCTCTTAAGACTTATTAACTTCGATATGCCTCAAGTTATTAGTTGGTATAGAACCCACCTCAACTGCTTTCAAAATAATAAGATGCTCCTTTACATATTTGTGTGAATTATTTAATTTTCAGAAGAACTTGATTTAAACTTTTTAATATTTACGCAGGCAAGGGAAAAGGAATTGATAAAGCAGAAAGCTTTAGAGAAAGCTAGAAAGCTTCAGGTAATAATCGTGAATGTATTTTGGGCTATTCTTCTTTTCATAGGCTCGAAATGCAGTCCTTATTTTGTGGTTGAAATTTTCCTACAAGGTATTAAGATAGCTTTTTTTTTTGTCAATTTTCCTTCCTTTTTGGTTGATGGTGGGAATAATACAGGTAAAAAAAAACTGCATGTTTCAAAGGAAAAAATACACCAGGGCACACTTGGAAATAGCTGGAGTTATTGGCAAACCTCACTTTTTATATACATGCTTTACAATTCGTGGAAAACCACATGAATCCTAAAAATGATAGCAGCAAATATGATGTATTGGAACTAATATTTTATTAACATCTTTCTTGCGGTGTTGGAGTTATGCCAGGATGGGTAGTTTACCCCTGTTGTGGGTTGATGGTTGTTTTATGTTACGATACTTAAAACTAATGGATTTGTTTCTACTCTGCTTCTTGAGTGATAGTTTAGTTAATTTCTTATTACTTTCTTGCAGGTTACAGACATATGGTTTATACGAAGTAAGAGTTTCAGGTATCTGCAATAAAGAGAATGCAAAGTAATAAGTTTGTCATCTTTTGATTTATATTAATTTCTTAGGTATCTGCAATAATGAGAATGCAAAGTAACATTTCCCATTTCTTATTGTTTCGCAAATTAATAATCATTTTGGCTTTAATCTCATTAGTTTGATTCTAATTCAATAAATTTGTGTAATATATAGTTTTCTATTAGAAAAAGAATTGACCTTTGAATAAAAGTTGTAGTCTTGCTTGATATTACTAGAATGTCTGTTTGCATTTCTTTTAAAAAAGTAAGATGTCATTAGTGAAAAAGATGTGGTTTAGAGTGGACATCCTTTTCATTCTACCAATAGAGTTATCATTTTATGTCTACTTTACATCCTTTATAGTATAAATTTCTTCATATATTTTTTTTTTTGGTCAAACGATAGATTTTGTTGGATTAGATGTTATAATTTTCTTCATATCTAAATTCATTACATCTTTTATTTATTTTTTCTTTTCTTAGGCTGCTTTCTTGGCAATCAAGAATGCTACAGGGAAACTTTTGACATTCCAGTGAACTTTTATCATCTGTTATCAATGTAAATCAAACAATACTTTATGATACCTTTTTGCATGTATTTCACAATCTTTTGTATACAAGTACTACTATTGAATCAAAAGCCACAAAAACTACTTAAATAAACACACATCTAATCTTTTTGCCATTCATATAAAAACTAATCTATGATCTTTTGTATGTGATCCTTATCAATCAATTTTGTTGTATATGAAAATCTTCTTAATGCTGTCAATATAAACAATATTAATCTTTTATATTTTTTAAACACAGTTTTTCATACAATTTTTTAGCCCGCAGCAACGTGCGGGTATCAATTGCTAGTTTAACAACTAATTGTCAAACATTAACTAACTGAGTCAGGCAATTGCTGACGTGGATTTTGTGCTGACTTGTAATCTATGGCAATATGATAGTACTCTTTCAGGAACATGATCCTCTTTGTGAGGATTCTACGGATCAGTTCATCCTATTGTTCATCAATCATTCTGCGGCCATAAATCATTTAAAATTGAACACAAACAGTATCTAACGAAAACTGATCGCATTATGTACGATGAACGGCTAAGATGAATTAGGATCCTCACAAAGAGGATCCTCATCCCCCTTCCAGAAAATAGGGATGGGCACAGTTCGATTTGGTGCGGTTTTAAGTGAAACCAAAACCAAAACCGTAATTTTTTGCGGTTGGGTTTAGAGCGGTTTCAAACAGTTTCAGTTCAATTTCAAACCATTTACTTACAAAATGAAAAAAAAAATTATATTTACAACCAGAATAAACCAATTTTTACAAATTAAGGTACCCTTGTCAATATCTATTACCATTTCACATTCATCATCCAAAAATACCAATATTGAAGCGATCAGTACCTTGCACAGGACCCACCATCGACACCTAAGAGCATCCCTAAAGGATATGTCAAATATAATATGTCAAAATTTTATTTGATGGTTGATGTAGCAAATTGAATACAAGTGCTAAATATTTTTCTTTTTCAATGGATGTGTCAAATATTTATTTTATTATTTTATTGGGCCTAGAGTTACATTAACTATTAAAAAAATCAAAATTAGTTTTATTTTGTATTCTATTGGTTGTTAATGGGACCCATGCATTAAAAAATTAAATTAAATATATTTGATTCATTCTTTGTTTGCGGTCAAAAAAGGCAGCTAGAAGTAAAGAGTCAAATGATTTACATGTCACATTATATTTGGCATATCCATTGGAAAACACTTGAATGTCTTTTAATCCTATTTAGCATATTTGACATCTCCTTTGAAGATGGTCTAAGAAAAGTAATAATCATCCAAACAGAGCAATTGAGGATAAAAAACATACATATCTGAATCTGATTTACATGCATACACAGGAACTAATATTATGATAATGTTTTGTCCCCAGTATTATGAAAAATGTCTTGTCTCCAATGCCAAATGAGACCGAAGTAGTACTGAGAAGGAAACAACTAATTAAAACATAACATCTAATATGGATATTTAATTAAAGGTTTTTTTAATATTTGTGGTGTGGTTTGGTTTTGGTGCGGTTTTCAAAAGTTAAAACCAAAACCAAACCATTTTCCTACACTACGGTCCGGTTTTAAACCGAAACCGTTTTAAAACCAAACCGTTCGATGCAATTCGATTTAATTCATGTTTCGGTTTCGATTTTTGGTTCCAAGTGCCCAGCCGTACCAGAAAGAAGGGAACAAGAACAACACCTCTTCTACCCCTTTTCTGTTTAGGTGACTTTTTAAATTGCAAGGATGTGCCTGCTTTTTGTCAAAGTTTCACAAAGAAGGGCCAAATAGTCCAACACCGCGAATCAACAAGATTTTTTGTGTACTCATCAAATGACACAAGCAACGTCTAGCAACCGTAGATTGTGATTTAAGGTCCCAGCAATTAGAGAGAAATAAGATCCACATGGGAGTAGTGTAAACCTTGTATGTCTAAATCAACCCCTCAAAGTCTAGAGAGTATTGGCACAATGTTATCTAAAGGCTTGAGTCAGGCCACAGTGAGCTCGACTTTGTCAGGTTCGGACTTAACAGCTTTGAGCGAGGCCCAACCCAATTAAATACGGTTAGTTTGGGTTTTCTCATGTTGGGCTGGGCCAAGCAGTCGAGCCACAAGTCCAAGCATATGAAATGAGAACTCTTTTTTTTGGTTGAAATATGATAATTTTTCTGGGATCAAAAAGGTAAATAATAATAAATGGCATGTAATGTAACATATTGTTCCAAAGGGACATCTTACATGAGGAAACAAACAAAGAAACTTGATTCCTATATATCAAAATACAAGAAGAAAAAAACACCAAGACCAAATGCCAAATTGGGAAAGAAAACTAAATACAAATTTAAATGAAGAGGAAAAAAACACCTATACAATATCAGTTTTTCTCTCTTTTGGCTTCCAAGGATGATCCGTCTTTTAGCGTTTCCTGCGCATCGTTGTCCATCCCCAGGCTCTTGAGGGCAGCCGCTTGAAGATAGAATCCAGTCGACCATTCGGGGTTTATTACTAGTGCTTGCATTGCATCTCCAAGAGCTTCTTGCGCCATGTCATTCATCAAGTAACATAAGCAACGTCGAGCAAACACAGTTGGAGATATCATTGTTCCACCGTCAATGAACTGCAATGAAAAGAAACAAAGATCTGCCTATGAGTAAGATGAGAAGCATATCCGGTCCTACTCTCTATCTGTCAAATGAAAAGTAGCCGGCTGGTACAGCTAATATTTCCTAAGGGGTTATCGTTTCTAATCATGTAAGATTTATGGAAAGTCATAGACTTCTATTACGAGACAGAAAGGCCCAACCGCTAATAAGTTTTCTATGTAATCTTCTTTACTGGTCTAGATAAAGAAGCAAATTATATCACTAAAGCTTTCAACTAAATGAACATCTTCCTAATATCACAGGTATTGATTAATATGTATCTAGATTCTGATGATAGAACTTATGACCAACATATTTTGTAATCATAAGTTTGTGCCTTACTTCTGTGTATGAATCTATGGCAGCAGCAAAATCTTTCGCTCGAAATGCAGCATCTGCATGCTTTTTAGAGTTCAATGTCTCTTGTATTTGATTTGTCCACATTTGGAAAGAAAGCTGCAAGGTAACTTCAAAGTAAGGGCAGTGCATTACACAAAAACCAACAGAAAAAGCAGCTCATACACAGCTGCTGCGGCATGATATTGATGACCGAAAAGATAATAATAATGGCTGGCATATGTCAGAAAATAGACCATAGAAAAGTTAGAATTGAGGATCACTAACATCATTTGTGACCCCCTCATCATCCTTGTATCCAAGCTTCTCCAATATTTCATGTATTGCAGTAAGATCCAATCTCGAGCAAGCTTCACCTAGAGGTGACAACGATGTCTGATTCAGAAGCGTATTTCCATGTGCAATACCCAATAAAACGTACGATGGAACCTGCTACAAACCACTACATGAGATGACATAATACCTTAATGGTATTCTATTTGCAGCGTTACTGCAAACCAGTTGTGCAAAACAGAGAAAATCAAATCAGTTTTGCATCAGCACACCTCAGTTTCTTTTTGAAGAGGAATGAGGGCAGTCACAAGAGACTTGGCATTTGGCCTCTCACGAGGTTCATACTGCAAGCATCGCGAAGCTAACTTCACCAGCTCAGTTCCATCATCATTTGAGAAATGACCTTCCAAGCATGAGTCCATCAGCATCAAAAAGTTTTTGCCACGTATCAGGTCAAGTGCCTTCCACAAAGAAAATACGTAATTATTCAGCTAGAAGCTTCCTAATATGACAATCTGAATCTGGTTTCAATGAAATTGTAATCACCATAAAATTTAGAAAAATTTTAAGCCAATTACATAATCAGTAAATGCTGAGAGTGCAACACAATCAGATAGATTTAACTTGGGAAATTTGGTAAATGCTTAGAGCAATTTTAAACAAGTTACTTTTGTAGGCCATAAGGTGCCACAGATGTCAAGAAAAATATCAGATCATCCACCTCTATTATTATAAAGAAAAGAAATCTTACATGGCTTGGGGGAATATGTTTTCCACTGAGCAGATCAAGCAATACGGTCCCAAAGCTGTAAACTAAACTTTCTGGTATCACTCTTCCTGCCAAATAAAGATAAGAATTAGCCTGACTAAAGACTTTTATCGCTTGAAGAAGTGTGTTCAAACCTCATGCATACAACAAATATAGAAGCATTAAAAGTTTCTTCCCATGCTTCCAGGTTCATCTTCATCCATTTAGTCTTAGTAGGTTGAAAATTAGCAGTCAATAATAGCACAACTAAAGACACTATCACCTTACAACGTGTTCAAATATCGTGCATGCTAATGTGGAGGTTTTAAGACCTTCTCCCAATGAAATTTTCTTTAGGGGATAAGTAAATATGAATTATGAATAAGAGATCATGAATAACGTAAAGTCATAGCCAGTCCAAAAGGCCACTACTCCGGAAGCCCTTGTTGAATAATCAGTATTAGTTGCTATATTTCAACTCACTAAGATGACAATGCATTACAAACAACTTCAATCGCTCATTAGTTGACGTTTGTATAGCATCCTCACTTGTTTTCACTTCCAGTTGTTTTTCATAAAAGTAGATCTTGGAAAAACAGACGATACAAGTTTTTACTCTAGGAAAAAATATGAGGTTCTGAATTTACATGGGAAGACGCGACAAAACTATGTTCATGGGAACGAAACAGAAATAGGAAGATGGATGGGGACCATGGGTAAATCACATGGGAAGATAAAGGTCATCTTTCATCCTCCTCCCCATCCTATCAAACATAGTGCAAGTGTTATAGCATTAAATGTTGTTTCGGATGGGCTAAAGCAATAATGGTATTAATTACCAGTCCTCAAGTACTCTGGAGGGGTGAAAGCCAGGTTGGTACTATAGCTCTTGCCGTCTTTGCTATTCTTCATAAGACCAAAGCAGGAGAGTCTGGGATTCCCATCCTGTCAAGTACTCACTAATGTAATCAACTGCCGACAAAAGATTACAACAATTTCAAAAGGATCAAAAGCTATTACCTGATCAAAGAGAACTCTATAAGCATTAAGATCATGGTACAATGCCTGCCCTTTACTGCTGCAATAGTCTAAAGCTTGTGCGAGATATAAAGCCACTCGCAACCTCATCGCCCATTTCATCGGCTGAGCTTCCCCTACAACAGTTTAAGTTAATCAATCTAATCAATCTCTGAACTTTTCTTAATTTCAGCTCAAGTAAGTCACAGTTGAATTTGATTGCTTCAACAAATGCACTAAAAAACAACAAAAACTCGAAAACAAGCCAAATTTAGCAAAACTAAATCAAGATTAAAACCGAATAGGGGTTTTAAATCAGAGGGTAATTTACAATGAAAGAGATGCTTAGAGAGAGTTTCATTAGGCATGAACTCGGCCACAAGCAATCTATTGTCACCCTCACAGCAACACCCAATCAAATTCGCCAACCGCTCGTTCCTCAGCTGCCCCACAGCTCTAGCTTCCTCCTGCAACCAACAAACCCACCACATATTTTCACACCTAGGATCCCAAAAACAGAAACCAAAAAAGAAAGAAGCACAATTGAGTCAACTTCCAAAATTACCAGAAATTGGCGCGAATCAGGCCAAGCTGATCGGTTGAAGCGCTTAACAGCGATCCAACGGCCGTCTTCGAGCTTCCCTTTGTAGACCACATTGGGAGCTTTCTCTCCGTGCTCGGAGACCACGTTCTCCGACGAGAATCCTGACGTGGCAGCTTTCAGTTGGTCCAGGCTGAACTCGTTGAACCCAGGAAGCGAATCCTCATTTTTGTTCTTATTCTCTGCAGCTTCACCAAAAAGAAGAAAAATATGAAATTTTCTCGGGAAAGTGACGGAAAATGAAAAAGTTAAAAACTTGCAAACAGGAAAAGAGTAAGAAGAAGAAAAGCTCACCTGGGTCTGAAGAGTCGTTGGGATTGGATTTGGTATTGGACGGCCAGAAGCAGAGGGAAAACTTGGAGCAACGAGCTCCCATTTGCTGATAAATCCAATCCTAGAGAGAGAAAAAAGCTGGAAATGCCTCTGTGCGTGAGTTTCTCTCTCTAGAAAGTGAGGCTTCTCTCTCTATCACTTTCCTGGGGACTCTAGAGAGAGGGTTTGAGAAGGGTTTTCGGAGATGAGAGAGAGAGAGAGAGACGGAACGAATGATGGATAGGGTAAGGAAAACGATGGAGAACGGAGAAGAAGAAAGATGGTCAAATAAAAACCAAGTGAGGTTGCATTTTTTTTCTTTTTCTTTCTTTTTATTTTAAATATAGGAAGTGTTTTTTTTTTTTTTTTTTTTTTTGAAAACTAAATATAGGAAGTGTTTGGAAGGTGAGAAAGTGAGAGAAAATTTTTAAACCCAAGAGTAACTTTCTGGATCCAGTGTCGTCTTCGTTTTTCTGGGTTTATTTCTCTCACTAGCACTTCATCTTTCCCTCCTTTTCTGCATTTCTTTCTCGCTCCTCCTTTTTTTTTCTCTTTTAGTTTTCGTTTTTAATCTTATCCCTTTCGCCTTTTCTCCGTCTATCATTGTTTTCTTCACTCTTTTTCCTCTTTTGCTTTGATTTTTTTTTTCTTTCTTTTGCCTTTTATTTTGATAAGATGATGTTTCTTATTATTTAAGTGGTATTATTACTATAAATTACACCAAAAGAAAAGTTTGAACACAGAACAGTGAGTTAAAGAGAAAAAAATAAATAAAGAGAAATTCTAATGTAAGAAAATCATACCACCGGATTCTTACAAACACTTAAAAATTACTTATGCTCATGCGCCCGCACCCACCCTTACCTTAGTTTTGACCCCACTCTCTTTCACGCCACCCACACTCCGTCTCCCGCATAAAAGAACTCCTAAACGTGAGGTCAATCCCCTCTTGCAATAAGATTATGATATTCTAGAATGATTTATTTACAGAAAAGGAAATTTAAATTTTGTGCAAGAGAATCAACCGACTTAATTTACATCTACTTCTTTTATACGTTTGCCCTCTTGCAATAAAATGATATTCTAAATTTGTCTATTCATATATAAAAAAAATAAAAAATTTGTTTTCACTTTTGCTTCATGTATGATTCATATGCGAAGTCCAAGTATGTCATTTATTAGAAAGAAGTAAAGGGATGAGGTCAAAAATTCAACAAATGAAAAATGACATTAGTGGAATTGTCAACCAAAAAAGGATAACGTTAGTGGAATTCAAAGCTTTGAACTTTGATTTGGTATTAACTAATACAATTGCTCCCTAAAACATGTGAGGCTTTTTTATGTAAACTTTTATTAAATGTGTAACGTGAATTGACAATTTAATAATATAATATATTTGTGGATCTACAAGTTAAGTTGTTATTAAGAAAATTTAATCACGAAAATTACTCCTTTAAAATTATGATGTATTATTTATATGGGAAATTTTATTTGAACCCAAACAACTTCACTTTACACCCAACTTAAATCTTAATTGTGAATTGTCTTCTTAGCCCTATTGTCTAATTACCATTAAGTACAAGATGAAATTAATACAAAAATCAAAATGTTATCAATAAACCCACTTCCAATAATTAAACCCTTATCATCACGCAATAATTTTTTTACATTTTATTTTGGCTAAAATCCTAAGACGTTGTCAAAGAGAGAAATAAGCTCTTTTTGTCGGATAGATGATAATTTTGAAGTTTTAAATCTTTCAAATAAAATACGAATCAATTTATGTTAATTTTTTATTTGATTTCAATTCTTTTTGTTTAGGCTTTAGTAGCAGTTGTATACTGCCTGCAAATAGGCTTGAAATCAAGGATAATAAAGGTGGATGATGTATTTCTTGGTATTTTGTTTCTCTGCCACCACATGTTCTAGGTTTTTCAAAGATCCATGTATATGGCTAATCATCTTTTTTAGTGATAGTATCCCGATAAATATATGTCAAAACCAAACCTTTTTTTGTTAAGAGGAAATAGCCATCACTCGAGTAGAAAATTGAAATCAAGGATTATTGAAATCAATAATTGAACTAGGTAATTATACTTGGTAAAATCTCGTCGAAACAATAAACTTGCCCGGAGCACCAGGTGCGAAGGAAACCCACACGATACCTAAACTTTTGCAAATTAAAAAATATTTTGAATACCTCAATGCTTGGGTTGGTTGGTGAAGAAACAAAGCAATGAGAAATATGCAGCAAAAGAAGGATTAAGCGCAAGACAAATATGTAAGATATATTGTTCTCTTTACGTCTTGAATGAGTTGTAGAATACTCATTTTGTGTTTTTATTTTCTCAACGGATGTAAAGATAAATTTACATACTGAATTAGGTTTGAGATGGTAGTTTAGGTAGTAAATTTGGGTTCAAATAGATATTGATGGTTTAATTAAAATTAATATGGGTGTAGAGAGTAAGTTGGGTGTAGAAATAGGTTGTATGGGTTCAAATAAAATTTTCCTATTTATATTGTTCATTTATATTGTGGCACGTAAACTGATAATAACACGTAACTGTATTCCGAAAGCATAAAATTTCACACCCTAATCCCAAAGATAATCAAAAAAGTCAGATTTCAATATTACACGTAAACTTTTTTTTTTTAATCAAATATTATACCTTAGACTAAATTTAGGTAAAGTTGCTGTCATGGATGACGATGTTTTATCTTATAAAAGCTTTGAAAACAAAAAGACTAAAATGGTTAGAACAAGCTGTGAATCATATCATATCAAATTTGAAGCTGACTTGGTACCACCAATAGTACATTTTTTAAGATAGAGATTCGCTTCATATCCCATTATTCAAGCTCAAAGATCAGACAATTCAGACCATTCAAATTGAATTCGACTCTCCATTAACTAATTCGCTTGCCCACGTCACACAAGAGTTCTGATTTCTCTTTTACACAAACCAAGGACCCATATTCCTTAGTCCTTAAACTATAGACACTAAAGTACTGATGAGGATCCAAATACTATTTTTTATGTCAACCCAAAATTTAAAATAATTAAATAAAGCAATCAATTTATTTAGTTTTTATGAAGTTGGACAGTTGAGCAATGCAGATAAACAACACAATTAGTCATGATTTTGTGCACATAAAAGATGAAACTAAAAGCATAATGCAGTGTGTAGCCAGACATGCCTCAAATGATGAAGAAGGCATTCAAACTAATTTCAGGATCTTCTTGACCAACTTTTCCAGCTCCTCTTGTGCACAAATAGAGGTTTTATAATTGACATAATTATCATATAAAATAGATGTTTGCAGCTTTAATTTACTACCAATATGATAAAGATTTGAGTGTGACAGTGGCATCGTTATGTAGTAGTAACTTGAGTATATATTAATTGATATTATATATATATATATATATATATATATATATAATTAATAGTATACTTTAATTAGGAAACATATGTTTGACATTATAATATGTGAATCTGTAATATCACATAACGATATAATTGTTGTGCTCCAAATTCAATACAAATACAAAAATACTTTGTCTGCCACACCATCACATAGTGTATACTTCATTGATGTTGAGTTTGTATATTATGACAGAGGGCCGGAACTGTAACACTACTTTTTTTACACAATTTTTGGCACATGTTTTTGTAGGGCTCGCTTCATAATGTATTTTAACCATCCGAACCATCTATCTTTAGGTCTCCCCTCAAAGTTCATGTCTACCAAAAATCATCTAAATCAAAAAGCATATGACGTTGGCTTAAGAGTTAGGGTTTCTTTGTAGAACCGTATTTGTCCATTTTGTTTACTATAAATGTATGTCCATATGACGTGGGCTTAAGAGTTAGGGTTTCTTTGTAGAGCTGTATTTGTCCATTTTGTATACTATAAATGTATATCTTAATGACTATGTATTTGTCTAATTTTTTGCAAAGATGATCTATGAATGATGTTCTAAAAGATAGACAATTCGGATCATTAAAATACATTACAAAAGTAAGCCTTATAAAAACGTGTAAAAAATAGTATAAAAAAGATAGTGCCATGAATCTATCCCCATTTATGAAATATTAATTATATAGTCAATAATTATTATCATAATGAGTAAATTGGTAACAACACGTGACGATAATATATTCACATGCTCCAAAATTTCACGATGAGCTCAGCATTTGGAAAGCATGAGGAGAAAGATGAGCTCTTTTTGCTCTTATGAAATGTGCCTTAATTATATTAAGTCCCATATTTAGATGCAAGACCATGTTACCTTATGGACCACATGCTTAATAACATATTGAACAAAAGCTATCCTGACCAACGACCACACCAATTCACTCATCCACTTCACTATTTATATCTTTTTTCTAATTTGGTAGGCGAGGTCAATCATATATCCTTAACTAAGATCTTACCGTTGTCTGTGAATCATACGATAAGTGACTATGGGAGGTTGAAATGTCTTTTTGAGTCTTTCTAATTCCCAGAAGGGCAATTGCCGTGACGAAACCACCAACTGATCCTTTTTTTTTTTTTGGAAAAAAAAAACGAAATCCTAAGAATTATGTAGCCAAAAATTCAAAATTTTCAATATATATTGATTTTTTAGTCCAAAGCAAAAAATTACGTGAGTTGTTATTCACACACTTATAAAAAGTCACCATCCATTTCTTTTCTAGCAATTCAATGAATGAGTAAATTATATCGAGTGTACAAATGACGTTATTAGAATGTAAATGATTGATCAGACTTGATTATCGTTGCTTGTTCTTTGTTAATTGCCAAGGAATATGAATGCGAAACCAAGTGCATCTTAGTTTAACGACTTACAGAGCTCAATTGAACGACAAACAATCAATATTGGTTATAAAATCCGGCATCAGCGTCACTGAAGTTTATTTTGCATAATGTTGTCGCACTGTATCAGACTCTTAACAGAACTATATGAGACCGATGCTAGCTGCGGGGTGGCTAAATTCTATTGGAGCTGTGCTGGAACCATGTAAAAGTTTTCCACATCATCACCCATGCTAGCACAAAATGATTGGTATCTTTCCTCGGTTCTTTTGTCGAGAGAATAAAGTTATACTAAAGAAATTTGAATTCCATGGATGTCAATTTTCTTACACTGTTTATTTCCCAATTTTGTTAAAAAATTAGGAGAAATTCTTGTCTCCGACATTCGGATTAGACGAATTGTCTGATGTGCTCACTTCGGTGATATGCCATGCCAATGTCAAAATAAACAGTCCCGTAAAAGCATGAGAGGCGAG